TTTTTTTTTTTTTTTTTTTTTTTTTTTTTTTGTTAAGTCCGTTGTTTTAAATTTAATAGGCTATCACTGGCCTTTGCCAAGATCCCAAAATATATTCCTGGGCTCATATAGATTCCAGAAAATCATACTTGTCAGTATTATGCAAAATTTCCCTAAGAATCCGAAAAAAAAATCCTCATTTGGTAAAGAGGTGTTATGAAGTGTAAGGCGACACATCTATATCTATCATTTTAAATTACCTTCAGGCTGTATCAACTTGTTTTGTTTTGTTTTGTTTTTGTGAACAACTGTAATATCGAGAGATGGGTCCCTCTTATTTTTCTGCTCATTTCTAATTAGATTCTCTCTATTGCATCTCTAGAATGTTCAAATTTTTCTCTGTTCAGAAAGACATCTGGAAAACAAGGAATATATTAATGTAGTGAGTTGAGGGGAATCCTTTGGCTTTTTGGCATCCTAACTGAGCCATATGAAGGTACCCTCGGTATTATTAAGGAGGAAGATTGCTCCAAATGGAGGCTTCCAAAATGAAAGCAGAGGGCAGAGATGGCAGGGACTCAGATAGAGACCTTCTTCAAAGAGAAATACGGTATCAAGTCACAGGGCTACAGGAAACAGTCCAGCCAGGAGAGAGCCACAGGTTTTCGAGGAAACCAAGAGCGAGCGGCAAAGGCATGCTGTGATTTGAAAGAGACAGAAAAGGTAACCCCAATGAGCAAGTAGCTGGTCTTCGAAATTCTTTAGAGAGAAGATTGGGCGTCCATTTGGAACAATTCAGATGGTGAGCTGGGGTGCAAATGCTCCCAGAAGGAATCACACATCCCCAAATTCACTCCAACACATGAATGACTGATACTAGAACTCTTTTTTTTAGAGCTTCAAGTCATGATGGTGGTGTGTGTCTGGGAGCGAGGGCACAGAAAGAGGAAAAATGATGGGAAAATGAATTTCGCTTCCTTAAGACTGCCAACTAGGAGCAGGTTCCAGCAGGGATTGAGCTGAATGCCATCGGGGGCCTCCTAACTACAGAGGCTGTTCCAGGAGAAGGAGAAAGGGGGAGGGAGAGAGGAAGGTGCAGAGGAGGCATGGAAAGAGGAGCTAGGGATGAGAAATGTCTGGTTTACAAAAACCAATCCATTTCCACAGGCCTTAATTAAAAGAATGACAAACACTCATATGTAAAAATCCACACCTAAAGGCTCTCAGGTACAGAGCGATCACAAGAAATGCAGAGTGTGCAAACAAGCTTTCATTAAGAGACCTGTCAGCTCGGTTTCATTTATCCAGACTGTTCAGCATTCTGCTGGCAACTGAGCTGGAAAAATAATGGAAGGACAGATACACTTGAAGAGGTAAACAAAGGTGGGAACGTTTCAGCTGCAAAATAGGACAGATAATAAAGAAGTCAGGGAATGGGAGAGATGAGATGGCATTTTTCTTAACAAACAAACAAATAACAACCACCCCTCCCTCAAGTCCACACTCATCAGTAATGCAATATTCTGGCTTTTAAAAGAAAAAAATAAAACAAGAACAGACATGTGGGGTTCAGAGACAGTGCTATTGGTGATCTACTCAAATCTATTCCCCGCTCTGCTACACTTCCCAAGATCTGATTTTGTTTTAGTGTTCACCCTTTTAGAGTCTACATGTCCAGGGATAAGGCTCCTCCCCCCATCAGAGTAATTTCATCTTCCTTGCTAAGGACTGTTTTAGACATAGACATGTGACATGGTCATATAGGCATGTGACAATTTTGACCAATGAAATGTGACAAGAACTGGGTTACCTGCTCTTAAAACACACACACACACACACACACACACACACAAACACACACACACACATACACACAGAAACTTCCTTCTGCCTTTGGACACAGATGTGAGAACAGGTGATGGCTGGAGCTGTTGCAGCCATCTTGTTATCATGAGGGAGTAGGTGACACCGAGGCAGGCAAAGCAGGAAGACAGAAACTCAGATCCTTGGTAACTTTCTTGAATGAACCAGCCCTGCCTGGCATTCCCTACTTCTTAAGCTCTTGTTATGCAATATAATTCATTTCCTTATTGTTTAAGTTTCTTAAAGTGTGAACTGTAGCTGAGAGTACCCCAACTGATGCAGGGTTATCTGGTGGAGTAGGGGACAGAATGCAACACATTTTCACAATGACTCTTAAAAAGACAAAAGACAACCATAAGTAATTGCTGAAACTCTTTTTAATGTCTGTGGAACAGAAGAACCATGTTGAGTTGGGATAGCAGAGGTTGGACAGTGTCACGTGTATGTACAGGGCAATGTCAAGATTACAAATATGACAGGATCACCTCATTGGCTCCAATTTCATCTAATAACACAAGACCCCCCCCCCCCAAGGCTGATTGGATACACAGAGCTCATGTTATCGCTCCCTATGACCCCCTGCCCTGAACCCCATACTCTGGGACTCATGGCAGTTTTCTTGCCCATGATGAAATGTGTAGGAGTTTATTATAAGCCCTGCTTTCCAGAAGGTGATGAATGGGCCCTAAAGACATGCACCTGGCCAATTGTGTGTCAAAACCAAGGCTTCCGTGTGGAGAGATTTTTCTTTTTATTATCATTGTATTAAATCTGGCTGTGTTTTCCTTTGGTGGCTTTGGCGTCCTATGCAGTAGTGTTAAACATTTGCAGAGTTTAGGCCTGGTGCAGCAGGAAAATGATTTCTGTGGCTGCTGGCCTGGGCAAGTTTTGCAGCTGCAGAAGCGACCTCCGTGGAGGGAAAGGTGAGGGGATGAGTCTGGGAAGGGGGGGAGAGGCTGGAGCATAGAGGGATGAATGGGGCATTGGGGCCTGACGGGCAGGGGTAGATGTCGTGTCCTGCTCACCGGGAGCCACAGTGCTCTGACTCAGGCGTACCTGCATCCCGCTAGGTGATGAGGGTGAACTCTGGTGAGTGGGAAGAAAGCAGCTGGAGGTCCACCCAGGGTGCATTTGGCAGAGGATGGGACCCTCTGGTCTGCACCTTGCCCTCCTTCAGAGCAAGACATGCAAAGTCTGATGGATCCCACCCAGCTGGCAGAGTGATGTCAGGAGATAAATGTGGCAGGGAAGTTTGGGGGGCGGGGGCGGGGCGGCTGGCCGCCCACATGCATGCAGGACTCACACCTGGGATCCCAAGCCTGGTGTAAACCTCTGATTTCTAGGATGAATTGATGAATTTTCTACCTCTCCCACCTTGGGAACTTCTCTTTTCCCTGCAGGAGAGTCTCTCAAAGGAGTCATTCTGGTTCTCAGGGACGTTCTGAGCTTTGGGATCTAGTTTTAGGTCTTCCTGGAGAAATGAACTGCATTCAGCACAAAGAAAGTTCTGTCATTTGATGAGGCTTCAACATGCTGCAGCGCCAGATGCCGCCTAGAAAAGTTAATTTTATCCCTAAGGAAAGAAGCAGGTGGGGGTGACCACTCTCTGCTTTCCCACTCTTGGAGCTTGAACTTGGTTCCCTAGTACCCTCCCCTCCCCATCGTTACAAAGGCTGTAATGAGTTACTTGGTTTTTCCCTTTCTTTCCACTCTAGGGCCACGAGCTCTGTCTTTAAAACCCCAGTAGCCGGCAGCACAGGGGGAAGCAGCCGCAGCATTCTGTTGGAGGAGTGATGCTAGAGGTTTCAGGTGGTGGGGGGATTGTGGGTTGGCCCCTAAGCAGCTATATCTTGCCCCGACCCTACAGGACCATAAAACCATAAAACTCTATGTGTAGCCTGGGATGAAGGGAGAGAACCAGCATTCCCAGGTTCTGGCTCTCATCTCATCTCAGAAACAAAACATCAAAACACCACTGGAGTACCCCCCCCCCCCCACCCCCCCC